TTTTTTTTACAGTATTCTAGGTTTTTCTCCCACTTGGAATGGTACTGGAGCAAAAGTAAATAGTGCATTCGGGTACTTGTTCACTTTAAACATAATACAGTGCCCTTACCCTCACGTTGTGCTGTGTGTATATGTATATATCACACCAATCAGTGATAAATATGTTTAAAGTGAACAAGCACCACATTTACATCTTTCTCGTCTTTTTTTTTCATTCAACTCAAAGTCGAAAGATAAAAATATCTTAATAAAGAAGAAAAAAATCGTCCGCTTGAACAGTCCACTATATTCGTCAAATATGAATTTTTTCGTCAAATTGGTTCATTTGCGAAAGAAACAATGAATAAAGATATATTTTTCTCGGTGATAGCCAATGAGAAGAAGAAAAATCTCACTGTTCAACCATTGAACATTGTATACTACAATGGATGTTTTGCCTCTTTCTTAATGTTAAAATCGATTGTCATCCAAATTTTTAAATCAAAAGAATTTAACAAATAAAAATAGTCCATTTTTGGGTAAAGTGATATTTTCTTTCTTTTGAATTCTTGATATTGAAAATTGTTATTATGGTTTTTGTTTCGTTTTGAAAAAAAATATAATTCTAACCTAAATTTGAATAAAATAAAATAATTTTTCTATTCATTTCAAGATAAAATGATAAGTAAATTGGAAATATTGCCAAATGAAATATTTATAAATATATTATCTTATTTAACATGGGATGAAATATTAATATCATTGTGGTCATTAAATAAACGTATTAATTCAATTATTTGTTTAATATTTACAATAAAAAAAAATGGAATTACTTTTAATTATCCAGGTTTATCTTATCAAAAAATTTCCGAAATCTTATTACCATTAATATTTAAATCTTCATTACTTTGTTCTTCAATCAAATATATTCATTTAAATGGAAATTACTCAAATTCATATGATCTTATTGATCGATATTTTTTTTATAATAAAGATAAAGAAAGTTTTTGTTTTCCTAATCTTAAATCATTAAATATCACTCAATTTTTATTATCTAAATCATTAATTGAAATATTATCTTTACTTGTTCAATATCAATTAAATGAACTTAAATTAATATACAGTGAAAATGAGTATCGACCATTTGCATATCAATATAAACATTCATCATTTATATTTAATAAAAGTAAGTATTAACTACATGAATTTTTTTCAAAACGATCTCAGATATTATTTATTAGAACTAAAATACTATTATATATTGATATAGAATAATCAGAATGAGCTAATCTTGTCCGATATACTTTATGATTGTTACAAATATTTTTTGTTTTATGATGAGTATTGGAGAGATATTACTTTATCCATTTAGACAGCATATATTTCTTTCATTAACAATCCAATCATTTTTACAGAATAAATAATTTTAATAAAATATTAATTATAAATTTATGCTTGATTCAACAACTGTCGGAAGTACCTATGAGCATTGACAGATGCACCTTTACTAAATATATTTAATAGAAAAATAATTGAATACGTTAGAACTAGCTCAAAAATTAAAGATTGTTTATCCGACACATGCACACGAATAGATTGCAAATGTAAAATAATATTTTTTTTTTACATATACTTTCAAATTTGAGAATTCTCCTAATAGAAAAAAACATAGTTCTTGACAATATTTTTCAGTTAATTAAATGAAATTATTTTTCAAACTGTAAATTTTTAAGGCAAAAATAATTTCATTTGAAATTTTAATCGTAGAAATCTATTTTATTTAATCTTATTATAATTAAATAGAAAATTTAATGGTTATGTTTGAAAAATTCTTATGTCAAATATTTTCTGGTCAATGTCAATTAATTTCTCTTCAACTTGACATAAGTCAATCAAATTCTCTTATTCATCAATGTTTAAAATCACATTCTTTAAATTTGTCATCAAACAAAATTGATGATTTAAATCAATTGAATTGTTTAACTTTACGTTATTTACACATTTGTATTCAATATACATATTTTCTTGAACATCTTATTGAACATGTACCCAATCTCGAACGATTAACAGTTCGTTTTCAACATTCATTGAAACCTTCTGACGAGTCTTATTCAAATATTGAAAAGTTGACAACATCAAACGAAAGTTGGTTTAATAAAGTAGGACAAACAAAATATTATTGTCAAAACCTTTCTTATGAAATATTCTTTTCTCAAACTTCATTTTTACGTAAATATTTATTCAGACCAAAAGTTATTGTGCATAAAAAGCGAGGCAAAAACATTCTGGAAAATGATGATATACGAAAGTCAGTATCGGAGATACAACCCATAAAATTCAAAAGTATTGAACTTAGACTCGGTATTTTCAACAGTTTTAAAACTCTGACTCGGACCTCATTGCACTCTTGATACTCAATGAAAATTTTAATTTGTAGCTAATAGTCGCTCTGAAACACACTCTACTAATTTCTCAATCAATATTGAGGTGATCTTGGAAAAATTAAATTATAATCGACTCTTTTTTAGAATGGCGTATGTTGAGTCCGGCTCGGTCTTGTTGTACAGAAAATTTACGGAATCGCGGAACTAGAGGCTATTGGATTTGAGTTTGAAAGAAACTTTTATGCATATAATGCTTTTTGAATGTCTTTAAATTTTTGTTCATCTTATACAAAAGAAAACCTTTAATTGATTTATAAAATAGAGAAAAAACAACAAAATTCTTCTTGACTATAATATCTAAACTTATTTACCATTGGCTTTAGGTCGGAAAAATTTTAAGGGGGGTCGCTCCCTCAAAAATCGATCTCAGCCTAGGAACATCCAAATGGGTTGATATTTGGAGGCTATGTTGGGCCTGTGATAGGACGTGTGTGATAACATTTTCAGTCTTCTGTCATGACGTATAATGGAGATACGGATCAAATAAGAGTCAAAAAATGGCTTATCGCATCTCCAAAAGTTCTCAGTGACCTTTCAATATATACACTTAATTCTTTTCTTTGAAAGAACATGTCCGGATGCAGTGCCTATGAGAGCCCTTTTTTATCTTATTTTTTTAAGGAGAAAAGGACTCTGACAAGTTCGGTTACTGAAAAAACTCAAAAAAATGACGCTCTAATTAAGAAGACGCTTTTCAATATAATAAAGGCAAGCCTATTTCAAAAAAGAGGGCTGTCATAGGCACTGCATGCGGACATGCTCTTTCAAATAAAAAATATATTTGACTTTATATCGTACTGTGATAGAATGACACTGGAGGTGCGGCAAGGTACTGTACGAAAGAGCCATGTATAATAAAATTTTTATATCTTTATCCAAGTAAGAGGGATCGAGCTGAAACTTTGAGTACTATGAGGATGATCCATCTCCAGTATGCACAGAAATTTGCAGCTCTATACAATGTATTAGGACGGAGATCGTGTTTTAACAGGATAACGAAGCGAAATGGGTGAAAGATTATTTTTTGAGGGGGCAGCCTCCTTAACTAGCTTGATTTAAATCTAACAAATTTTAAATAGCGGATCCGAACTAAGAGATTCTTAGACTCGATAGACTCTACTCGGAAACAACACGACAGGCTATAATCGGAGATGACTGAATGAAGATCACTGAACAATATGCTTATTATATTGCAATATTGTTTAGGTAAAAAATATTGAATTACAAATCAGAATATTCTGCATCGCTAAAACTAGATGCTTTTCATTGTTCAATTTTTCCAACATTCTTTTTTGGGTCGAAGGCCAATATGATTGAGTACAATAATTTATCAATATTCAGTCATACTTTTACCCTCACCTTATGTACGAATCTTCTTAACCTCAGCCACATCCTTCCAAGTTAACCTAGTTCAGTTTGCAGCAAATTGAAATCTTTTGTTGCTAATAGTAAAATACATTTGAGTTTGAGTAAAGTTGAATTAATATTGCGAAATGAGTTGTGTATCATAATAGAAAATAATTTAGTGCCAAAATAGAGAATAAGAATTTCTGTCAGGTAAAGGCAATAACTTCTATTTTATGAATAATTACTTTAAAGATATCATAGATTCTTCTTAATTACTATCATTGAGTAAAATGGAAAGAATACGTTATCAATGGATATTATAACTAGAAAATGAACATTGTTTGAATAGATATTTTCATGTCTGATCAATTTCTGTCCACGATGGAATATGACAAAGATAGGAAAAAAACAAAAAGGGGGTCGAAACTTATGGAACACCTTTTATTTTATTCCATTTATATGAAATGAATAAAACATTTCTACAAGAAATCCAGAGAAAAATTTTAAATCAGGATTATAAGATTTTGATAAATTACAATGAATCTCAGAGGATTTCAGTATATTCTGAAATAAATTAATCGAACTGTATAAATTAAGTAAACAACCATCAGGCTCGGTGTATACATTATTATAATCTGATATGATTCTAAATTTTCATGTATAGCTTACGTTTCTCTTGATTGATTTTGTTAGATTTCGATTTGTCCTGTTCGACTTTTGTCTTTTACTTTCCAATACAAAAAAAATACAAATATTTACCTCATGTCCTTTTAACAGCATTTAAGCAGCAATGTTCAGACTTCTAAAAAAAGGAAGATTACTGAAATTTCCATTTTTGGAAGTCTGAATACTGGTAATCCTATGGGCCTTATCTATATTCAAGAAGTTCTACCACTTATAGTGTATTTTATCCTGACAGTTGTGATCGTTTTCTTTCAGTAGAACGATGAAATAATAATAATAATAATGTAATTTTGTTTAACTGAACATAAGAACGAATTTATCGTATTAAGAAATAATTTCTATATAAATGAATAGACTAAAATTAATCTAAGTATATTATTTTCAATATTTGTTTTTCTCTATTTTAAACATAGGTACCAAAATTGAAATGTTTTATATTAAAAACTCGTATTTTCAACGATTTAGAATTTATTTATTTAAAATGGCTTCTTAACAATGTAAATCATATTGAAAAACTTCAAATTTCTTTAATAGGTCAAGAAATATGGAGAAATGATCAAATAATATGGAAATCTGTAATTGATGCAAATTTTATTCGTCAATATTGTTTACCTGATAAAATAATTAATTTAATTGATTTTGATTTTTATATTCGTTCAAAACGTCAATTATCTTTAATTGATATTGAAAAAATACAAAATTCATTTCAAATTGATTCTTTTTTTATTAAACATCAATGGACAAATGTTAGATGTTTTTATGATGAAAATAAATCGTATCAACATTTATTTTCTTTTACACAAAATAAATCTGAATGTTTGTATATGTTAACGTAAAATATTATTTAATTGTAAAATATTATCATATTATTTTTATTTGTTTATTTAGTAAATATCGATGTATAGATAATTGGCCAAATATTCGATGTATTCAACTTAATTTCCATCCATCACTTTATTTATTTCTTGAACAATTCGATGAATTATGTCCTAATGTTTCTTCTATCATGGTTCGTCCAGGTAAACTTTTGTTTCAATAATTTTCTAAATAATTATAATAAGATATCTTATTAATCAAGTTGTCTATTATAAAATAAACACTTCATTATATAAAAATTGTACCTTAATAAAAGAAATAACTCAATTAAAAAGTTCGTCCGAAAAAACTTACTTAACAGAAAGTGACTGTTACCCATTGTTATATGACCAGTTTCACCATAACTCAATATTTAGGAATAAAATTTTCTTTGCATATACGATAGATATTACATGTAAATTATTGGCGCAAGCCAAGCCTCAAAAACTAACTTTATAAGATAGTTACACGCAAAACGAAATTATCCGAAAAATGATGTCCAGTATTGTATATAGTTGTTCAGTTGTCACAGAGAGGAGATGATTCGGAAATAATCTACAAGTGGAATATAGATTACACATATTGTTTTTAGTAAAATTGTCTTTATTGAAAAAAATTTTTTTTTTTTATATAGAAAATTACACTTATGAATCAATGATTACAGAGCCTTTAACAATATCATTTGAAATGGGACAACGAAGTTTAAATGATATTCGATTGGAAAATGTTACAAAACTTCAATTTGGAAGTTGTTGTTCTTGTAGTAGTGGTATGTATTGCTTATTATTTTTTCTATTGACAAAAAATGAAGCAAAATCTTTGTTTTAATTTACTAATAAATATGATTGTCTTGTTTTCAAAATATCGTTGAATTTTTCTTTAAAACAAAACCAATTTCATTCGAGAATGTTTAAATAGTCGATAGTTTTTACCTACTTTAAAGAAAACTTAAACTGTGAGTATAGCTTAATTAGACTGTTGAATTATCGTTACATTATTAAGTTTCAGATAAAGAAAAATTTTTATTTTCGATAATAAGAATAATGCTTCTCTATTGTTTTATCGATCAGTTATTGTTATCTAAAAGTTTCACTTTAAGTTATCGAATGTGTTTTTCTCTGATCCATTATTCAATAATTATCAATTTTTCCAGAACTGCTACTGACGAAGGAACCTTCCAAAGTGACACCTCCCGTTTTAATTCATTTATATCTCATTCAATCGAGTATATTGAGATAGTAAAAAGCCTAAAGGAATTTCTTCCCATGGCTCTTCCTTTAAAAGTTATGGACGTTTTACTGAATTCTCGACTCATTCCTAGGTGTTTACCGAAAAAATAAAATTAATGAAATTTCGACTTAAAATTTTGTTTATAGATAGGTCTATTGACCCTTAGAATATTTAGAAAGTTTCAGCCAAAAATAATGTTTCCTTCTCGAGCGGATATTTAATTTTCAAGAAAATAGTCGTTTGGCACAGATAGCTCATGAAAACCGAGTTCACTTGAAAATTGAATATCTCGAGAATGAAACATTCTTTTTGGCTGAAACTTTCAAAATATTCTAACGAGGGAACCGATGCAACTGTCAAATTGCTTTTTAAATGGAATATAATGAGCCATAGATTATCGACTATGCTGATTCCGAATATGACCATGATATTTGCCCATAGACCTCCAGAGATCGTTTTTTTGGAAAACTAGATTTCTACAGTAAAATTTTTTTTTTGTCAAAATAATTTTCTGATCTTTTTCGCTGATAGAGCATGCCAAGTAGGCTATAAAAACCTTCTTTTTGTTTACCGAAATCCGTTTTTGAACGATCTATAGCGGTTGGAAATTTGTTCGGATTTTAAATTTTTTCAAACGAATAAAGTGTTTCAACTAGATTCATTCAATCCGTAGTGTTTTTATCCATTTATTTCCTTCTATGAAAGTGATACTGACCAAAGACGTGATGAAAACATAGGTTTTTTTGAATAAATAGCACAGCTAATGAACGCTGTTTCCATACAATTTTGTCCTTCACGTTGTTCGATTGAGACAATTTGAGGAAAACAAACTTGAAGAATATTTTGAAAAGAAGATGGATCAACATTTGTATAGTCACAAGAGAACTAGGAATATTCTATCATTTTCTTAAATATAGAGAACGAAAGTTGGATGTGGACAACAGGTATTAACTTAATGATGTTGTTTCTTTCCCATAGATTAATTTCAAGTTGTTCTAAAGCAATATGATGATATAAACGTTTAATAAAGTTTTTCATCTGTCTATTGAAGTATCGATCTAATGGTTTGATATCACATGTGGTATTTTGTGGAATCATAATTCGTTCAATCAATTTTGATTTTATATCTTCATAAATCTTCGGATCATTTTGTTCTGAATATGAATCTGATAAAAGTAAGCAGTGTTTGTGAACTGATGGAATTAAGCATTTGTCACGCCAATACCGCACTAATGACGATGTTAATTTGCCAGATTTCGAACATGTGATAATTACGTTGCTAGGCTGAAACAAACGTTTTTTTAACTATTTCTCTCATCTTCCCACCAGGTTCTTGAAGACACAGATATGTCGGACCAATTAATCGTCCATCTAATGAAATTGTTGGCAGTATTATGTACGAATGTGTTGTTGCATGTTTGGATTTAACTACACCGAATGTTTTTTCATTCACTTTGAAGTGAAAGTGTTCGTGTTGAATGCTGTTCTTTCTCAATTCCAACTAGATCAGTATTAAATATTTCTGCTTCTTTATATTTTGGTGATAGTTTATTAAATAATTTTATAAAATTTTCTTCAGATTTAAGAATATCATCGGAATTTAAAATTTCTCGTTTAGTAATAATATTTGTAATTTTGCGAGAACATATTCTATGTTGTTTTTTAAATGTACGAAGCCAAAATTCGGACGCTTGGAAATCATCAAGATCTAGTTCTTTTGCGACCTTCACAGCCCAATGCTGTATATCAATATCATGGATTGGAAGATACTGTTTACGTGCTTCAGTAAATTTTTTATAAACAAGTTCATCTCTTTTCTGTGTCTTTTGTCGTCTTGTCACATTTTGTTTTAAATAATTTCTAAATCGACTAACATAACTTTGATCTGGTAGAGTCCGAAATCGATGATGAACAGATTTCCAAGTCCGACGACGTTTTCCTGACGCATCTGTTTCATCAGCATAGTCGACCACTTTCTGCATAAATTCAATGGAATAATTCGATAGTTGATGATGTTGTTCAGTCGCATCATCTTCGACTTCATAATCAGTGTCACTCTTAATTTCATAATTTTCTTCTTCACTTTCACTATCATCATGATCGTATTCATCATAATAGAAATCTAATGTTGTCTCTTCTTCGTAGTCAAACTGTTTACGATCACATAATGAAGTAATCATTTCAGCTGAATATTGGTCAACTTCACGTTCTTCTTGTGAAGGTTTATCTATTGCATTGTCATTCGAATTCACCTTCATAATATCCAATAAACAATAAATAATCCTAGTCGGATTCATATTTTTGAAAGATGCTATAAATATAGAACTTGAAGTGTAGCTTGAATTTTGATTTTTTTAATCACCCTCCTGATTGAATAACACGCGATACGTCGATTGTGAGTAATAGACCGTACGAACCAATTATAGAAATTTTCGAATATCCTCTACTTACTAGATCAGATGGCACATATCGTCAGCAGTTTTGTTTCTTTCATCTTTATGTTTTCTTACGTATAGGTGGTTTGTATTTTACTTTGCAAAATAAAAACTATCCCTGTAGATCGTTCAAAACGGATTTCGGTAAACAAGAAGTAGGTTTTTATGGCCTACTTGACATGCTCTATCAGCGAAAAAGATCAGAAAATTTCTTTGACAAAAAAATCTTCTATCGTAGAAATTTGGTTTTCCAAAAAACCGATCTCTGGAGGCCTATGGGCAAATATCATGGTTATTTTCGGAATCAGCATAGTCGATAACATAGGGCTCACTATATTCCATTGGAAAAGCAATTTGACAGTTGCATCGGTTCCCTCGTAAGGGTCACTAGACCTATCTATGAACAAAATTTTAAGTCGAAATTTCATTAATTTTATGTTTTCGGTAAACACCTAGGAATGGATCGAGAATTCAGTAAAACGTCCATAACTTTTGAAGGAAGAGCCATGGGAAGAAATTCCTTTAGGCTTTTTACTATCTCAATATACTCGATTGAATGAGATATAAATGAATTAAAACGGGAGGTATCACTTCCGGAGGTTCCCTCGTGAATGATATAACTCTTCAATATCGCTAACTATGCAACTAAGCATAGTCAAAGGATCAGTGAAGTATAAGTAGAGCCGTGGCTAACACAACAATTGCTCCGCAGATAGTTGAGGATGAGGATGTAGATGCGAGTGAGGGCAAGACAAAGAGTAAGTTTTGGTCTTAATTGGGACTTAATATGCGCCTCGAGAGTAAATTCTCACTGAAGATCATCTGTCATGGAATCAAAGTCGTGCATTTTTTTCTCCCGTTATTAAGGTATAAATATTTGTTTATATTATTATTTTAAAACAAATTTTTTTTAACATAAATAAGATTTCAATAAAATATTTTTAGTATTTTGTGATAAATTAACATATGAAGACAAATTACGTGCAAAAGTATTTGCTCATCTTATTTCAATGCCTGTTCAACTTAAATATCTTCTTGTTGAAAAATTTCAATTGCTTGTATGTATTATTAAATATGTATGTATTGATTTTAAAGTTTTTAAATATATCTATACACATAATATTGAGTATTATGTCTGTGTATCTGTTACGAAGTAAAAAGTTAATCCACCACCTTTGACTCCGTAACAGGTACACAGACACAAAGTGCAATATTTTTTTGAATTGGTCTCGTAGTATTTCTATATTTCACAATTGATTTCAGTACATGTATTTGAATAGACAGAATGAATAATCAAATCTTTAGGAATTTTTAAACAATTAAATAAAACTTTTTCTTCATAACATACTCTTACATTATATTTTATCATTATAACATCTAGCGATCACCCATGTAGCCGACTGTTGCATTATCATGTAATTATTGCCATTATAATGCATTATTTTGCGCAATAATGCATTATAATGGCAATAATTACATGATAATGCAACAGTCGGCTACATGGGCAATATCTTTTGACACTAATACAGATTAATAGTACATAGTAATTCAAAAACTTAGTACAGATGCTGCTGAATTTCCTCATTTACACAATAAAAAAGCCTATCCTGTTAACATTTTAATCCTGGAAAGATTTGGCTAACAACTTTTTTTTTGTGATAAATGTATTTATTGAAAACAACATTGAATTAACAATCGAAATAAAAAAAGAGAATAAATTAAATTCGATAAAATTATAAAATAATATAATTTAATATTTTCATTTAATTTATAGGCATCTAATAATTTGCGAAAAAATGCATTAAGTACTGTTCGACATGTTGAATTTAATATTCCAAGTTGTAATCATGGTCCAAATGAATCAATTGATATTGGTAAAGATCTTACACCATTTCTTAGTACTTATATGCCTCATTTACAAACATTATGTCTTTGGAGACCAGATGATTTTCCTTGGACAACGAGTAAGTTTTATTTTTCAAAAATAAAATATAATTAATCATAATTATTAGTGAAGAATAGTTTTTATTTTAATTCTCAATATCATGTCATAGAACTTAATTGATTAAATGAATATGTCTATAATAATCTTATGTTTAACATTTATGAAAATAAGTTTTATTTTAATATGAATTTTATTTTTTTTAGTAAAAGTATTTGTTTAAAACTTCTTTATGCAGTCTACTGGATGTGACAAAAGTTTTGCGACATTTTTTATTTTGTATATATCTCCGTTCAGAAACATAGTAAAAGCCTGATTTTTGTTTTCAAAAGATATACCATTTAATACTCTATGAAAATTGCAAAACAAAATTTGTTTAGCTCTTTTTGAAATTTAAATAAATCAATCAAGGTGAAAATGGCTATTGTCATTCTACTTCTCATTATAACAAAACTGGAAAAACTAGGAATTACAAGATTGAATTATTGACAATCAAGAATATCACCCTCGATGATACACTATAGTCTGGGACAAAAGTTTAAGCGAAATTGCTTTTACAGATTTTCTTTTAACATTTCTGTTTTCAATTTCTTTTTCATATTAAGAGGTATGGATCGTATTCAACTGGTGGTATAAATAGTAGGAGAGGCCAGCTACATGATACATTATAGAACGAGGTTCTGCCTGTCTATATAGATCTTTCATAATTAAAATAATTTTTTTCTATGCAAAAATAGGTTTAAATGCCTTTCAGTATTTCACATTTTTCTCATAGGGAGTTTGTGCTCAAATGAAGAACAATATATCAATCGATAGAGAATTTCAAGCTCTATCAATCTATAAAAAAAGATTTTTTCTAGGAGTCGATCTTCACCTCTAAAACTTGGTTTTAGTGAGAATAATCAGCATTTTTCTCCCGTCAAAATAATTAAAAAAAGAAAAGCTAGTTGTGCTTTTCAAAACTTTATTTCAATAAGGTGCGTGTGAAAAATCAGTGATGTTCGAACTTCAAATACAACATTTTGTTCAGTTTTGAATACTCTTTCCAATGGTGTATAAAACATTGTGATAAGAGGGAGTTTGTGGAAGGTAATTTCATCTTTTCCGTTTTTGCTGACTATTCTCACTAAAACCAAGTTTTAGAGGTGAAGATCGACTCCTAGAAAAAATCTTTTTTTATAGACTGATAGAGCTTGAAATTCTCTATCGATTGATATATTGTTCTTCATTTGAGCACAAACTCCCTATGAGAAAAAATGTGAAATACTGAAAGGCATTTAAACCTATTTTTGCATAGAAAAAAATTATTTTAATTATGAAAGATCTATATAGACAGGCAGAACCTCGTTCTATAATGTATCATGTAGCTGGCCTCTCCTACTATTTATACCACCAGTTGAATACGATCCATACCTCTTAATATGAAAAAGAAATTGAAAACAGAAATGTTAAAAGAAAATCTGTAAAAGCAATTTCGCTTAAACTTTTGTCCCAGACTATAGTGTATCATCGAGGGTGATATTCTTGATTGTCAATAATTCAATCTTGTAATTCCTAGTTTTTTCAGTTTTGTTATAATGAGAAGTAGAATGACAATAGACATTTTCACCTTGATTGATTTATTTAAATTTCAAAAAGAGCTAAACAGATTTTGTTTTGCAATTCTCATAGAGTATTAAATGACACACATTTTAAAAAAATCAGGCTTTTACTATATTCTTGAGCGGAGATATATGCAAAACTTTTATCACACTCCGTATAATGAATTGAAATGTAGAATTTATCTGTCGTTGTCATCTTCTTTACAGTAATATATAAAGCATGTAATCTGAAATGCTTTCGATAAAGATAAATTTTTCTTCAAAGATTTGTAATTATCAGAGAAATGCTCAACTTTATTTTCTGATTATGAAATTACTGTTTGATTTTGCTGACAATGACAAGCAGGATGATGGAAAAAGATGTACTGTTTTCTCTTGAATTCTGATTGATAAAATCAGGAAGAGCTTTTTCTTAGTTTTGTTAATAGAGAGAGATTTCTCATTGACTGTTAACCATTGATTTAGATTATTCAACTTCACAGAAAAAAAAACTCAAAACTTGACTTAGATTTCAATTGATTAGTTTTTTATTCAAAAACGATATATCAATTTCCGAATAGTGTAGTGAGTTAATGAGTCAAAAATAAAATGTAATGTTTAGAAAACTTTTCTTTTCTTCTTTAATCGTTTGAATTGATTATCAGTGGCAGATTCAGGAATTTTATGAATGGGAGCAATCTTCATCAGAAGACACGTTTTTAACTTCGTTTTAGACACCAACGGCTCATTTTTGTGCCTTTTCTGCCGGAAAAAATCGAAAAACAAATTTGCGAATGGGGGCGGTCGTCCCTAGCCCCCATTCCCACTAAATTCGCCACTACTAATTGTAGAAAATGATTGAAAGATAAAGAGATTTTTTTTAATCATTAATTAATTATTTATTTAAACAAAAAAGAAATAGATTTTTTATCGAAAAAACTTGTTCCTAATATAAATTAATTTAATTCTTGTTATGTTTAATTTTATTAAAGTTCGACCATATTTTAAATCTGGATGTTTTTATGATTCGTCAATTCGACGATGGATGAAAACTCTTCGTACAAGTCAATCTATCAGTATGTTATTCGAATATATTGTTAAAATAAAAGAAAAACGAATTTATAATAATAAAATTCTTGCTATTAGATGAACATCGAAATATTTTCGAACAAGATCTTTCTCAATTAGTTGAACAATTAAAACAATTTGTTTTTCTTGATATTTATGGTCAAATATCTGAAAGAAAACTTCAATCATATTATTCAATGATTCAATCTCGTTTTCCAAATAGTCAATTTGATATTCAAATATCAAGATTTCGTCTTTGGATATAATTTATTATTCAATTAATATGAAATAACTATATGTTAAACATAGCTATAATGTTGAACAATTCGACAATTTATTCTTGTTTTATTTTGATATAACATGCAATAAAATCTCTAAAAGCAATAGTTGATATTATACTGTTTTTAAATATGAATTTTCATCTAATGAATATCAAATGGATTGTTTACTTATGATTTTTCGGTATAACTTTACTTTACGGGCCCAGTCTGATTTTTTAAGATTTTATGCTTTCTAAGGGATTCTTAGGTGCTGAAAACGATAGAACAGAAGAAAAAACTTGGCGGTCAGATCAATATGCCCGATTTCAGAACATCAGTAAACAATCATTTTATTCATATAAATGAACAACCATACATCTCAATCAATTAAAATCATTATTCTCCGCTTCTTCATTCTCAATATCAATATCATTGAGTTGCTCTTTTTCTTCTTCTTCTTCTTCTTCCTTCTTCAGCGGATTGTAGAGTCTACCAGCTAATCGAAAGAACTCTACAGTCGAATCCAGATCTTGTGCACGACATTGCTTCATGAACATGTATTTTGCCAAATGAGACGGGAAGAACTCTTTCTTGCGATGGTATTGAGGCATGATGACCTTTGCGTGTCTCGATGAACTTTCGATGGAATTGGTGGAAGCACCTGTTTCAGGATCCTTCTTGAATGTGATGGAATGGTTGAGTTGAAGATGCTCATAGCCCTCACTACCCAAGACGTCGTATGACTTCCAGCAGTCGGATATGATTGTTGTGCCAGGCAGAATCCATTCTTTAATAATTGGAAGTAGTGTTTCTCTGTCTCTAAAATGTTAATAAGTAGTTATCAACTTAAATGCTGGATACGAGATCATTCTTTAATGTGAAAACTTTAGGTACAATTGTTGTTGTTTTCTATTCTTCACGCATTAAAAGACGTGAGAAAAACTATACAAAAATAACAACAATTATTCTTTTTGTTTTGAACATCTCATTTAAAGTGACTAATGAACAAAGCAGTAGTCTGTAATGGTAGTAAGTTTTTCGGACATAAATTTTGAAAGTTGATCAACAAACTCCAACTTTTCGTTATTAGACTAATTCATAAATAAATAGCTTATCTTACCTAATAAAAAACGAATATGATCAATATCTTGATATTGAAGTGAACGAGACTCGGCGAGATGCAATGCAAACACCAACAACAAATAATTTTTGAAAACGGCTGGTTTTAAATAATGTTTTAATACTGGTGCTGCAAAAAGTAAAATCAAACGAAATTCATTTGCTTTGAATCGATGAAATTGAACGATTGGTCTTGTTCTGCTCGTTGTTGATGGATATCGGTATTGGCTTAGCTTTTCAGTAACAATATCAAATTTTGTGAAGCTGGACCAGTCCGACCATTTGGGTGGGTGTGGGTGTGGGTGAGGCTGTAGGTGTGGGTCTGGGTGTGGCTGGTGTGGGTGAGGGTGTGGGTGTGTGGGTGTGGGTGTGTGGGTGTGGTTTTTGGTCATTTATTCATCTACATCCATACCCACACCCACACCTGTACCCATACCTACACCCACACCGACACTCCGCCCACACGCACACCCACACCCAGCACACCCACACCCATACTCACACCCACACTCACATCCACACACACCCGACACCCAACCCACAAGCACACCCACACCGCCATCCGCACCCCACACCCAACCCACTCCCACACCCTTAAGTGAAACAAAATTCGCCAATTCAGTGACAACCACATTGCGAATGGATCAAATAAAAGCTAGGGTTATCTCGAGTAAATATTGCTCTACAGTTCGATGAATAACTATGGGTGCGGGTTTTGCTATGACTGTCTACAAAGAATTCGCCCACATCCGTTCACGCCCTGGCTAATTAATTTCAGCTTAAGAAATAGACATACATTTATTATTACTATTATTGTTAAAACATTCTTAATCCAATTATCATTACCAATAAAATATTTCTTTTTTTATTAAAGATTTTATTTTATTAACGCAATAGATTAGGATTAATAAAGTTGTTAGCACAATCCCTACGGGATTAAAATGTGAAACACGATGTAACTATTGTTAATGAGCATATGACAACTGTTTCATTCAACTTATATTGGGATATTATGCTTCGTCATCGTTTACTTGATATTCTAGAACTGAAATAAGAAAGTACGTTCTCTATTCGAATGAGATGTTAGCTATATACGATTTGTGATGTTCTCTGGAGCCCGTCTGCCACTGTCTATGATGGAGGATTTATGTCGTTGGCTCAGTTGAATCAGATATAACTATTAAAGATGTCACTTATCACAATGATGATGGTAAATTACAAGAGTAGAATAATTTAGATTCGTGAATAAAGATTCAACGATTTATTTATTAATCAGAAAAAAAGTAAAGATTATGAAAGAATATATAGAATAAAATTGAAGAAGATATGTTGGAAGTTAGATTAAGACAGAAGCGAGAGTTCGATGAAGAGTAAAGTATACAAAAAACAAGAAGAGTGCGCTAATCAAAGAGTGAACGAATGAATTAATGTAACTAACGAAGAAGCTACAAGTAGGAACTAAAAAAAAATAGATGACTACGAGACAAAACATTGATAATGAATCAATCAGAAACATGAATAATGCAAACACAGTAAGAAGAGAGAACATAGGTGATGGTTAGGGTCATCAAAGAGAAGTCTGCATCTGTCACGGTCTGTGAGCGAGGAAAGTGTGAGTCCAAATCTCTACCCTAGATGCTTCAATACTCCCTTTAGACTATGTTTCATAAAAATACTGAATAATTTTTAAAATAAAGCAGTTGAATGTCTCGGAGTAATATTTGTGATTAGTCACTGGCTGCAATTACATAAAAAAATCGATATCAATATTCCATCATCTTGATAAAAAGAATGGCAATAATATATTTCATCAACTTTTTTATTTGAAGCGAATAAAAAAAACCGATTATGATTCATTTTTAGATGATGTGAATCTGAATATATATTGATAATAAAGATATAAACCGATGTGGTGATTAATCATGATGATGAATAATTTCCATAGTTCTTAGTACAGGAATTGGTGAATTGGATAGAACAAGTTTTTAATAGAGTGTTGTGAAAATTTTGTTCAAAACTGGTTCAGCAAAGTTGCTACCTCATTATCATCTCGTATCTTGTGTCAATAACATATTTGCTATCTCTTTTTCTCAATCAAAACAATTTTAGAATGTTGTATTAGTATATAGGGTGTCCAGAAAGTAACTCCACAAAGAAAAGTTTGAATACATACCTCACCTATATTTTGACTAAATGGGCTGATATTTTTACTACTGATAGAAGAGTATGCATAGTTCATATTTAGAAGAGAACAGTTATCAAAAACTGCTTTAAAGTAGTACAACTAACTTCAACAAAAAACTGTAATATTTTCTAGTTATGAACAACAAATACTGCAGTTTTGTCAATGGCTGAAACTTTTAGACTACACTGAGTGACAAGACATGTATCTGTGGTATAAATATGAGACCAAATGATGTAGTATGAAGAAGTAACCAAAAAAAAAAAGATGTCTTCAATTCTTGTCTAATAGAAGAAATACATTGTTTTTTCATAACTTGAAAAATATTACAGTCTTTTCTTGAAATTAGTTGTACTACTTTAAAGCAGTTTTTGACAACTGTTCTCTTCTAAATATGAACTATGCATACTCTTCTATCAGTAGTAAAAATATCAGCTCATTTGGTAAAAATATGGTAGAGATATGTATTCAAACTTTTCTTTGTGGAGTTACTTTCTGGACACCCTATATATTTCAATATCATATATGAAAAACTGAGACTCATGATACAAATATTTCCATATATTTATATTACAAAAGTCCAAAAACTAACTAAATATAATCATCGATTGCAAGTCATATTCTTCGTTGTTTTGAACCTCATCTAACAAAAAAAAAATATTCATAAATATTTTCGTGTCACTTTTCATATTCAACTCGTATATTATTCCACGTGATTTTAACCGAAGAAAAACCAAGCATAGACCATCCGGCAGAATGCGTGCTATATCAGTAAGGTTTTACCACTAGTGAAAGAATTCGTTCGTTCTTATGACTGCCACGCACACAGACAGTAGTTGTAACAAACATATGATATGGATACAGACTCAGCTTTTTAGTTCCTTATTGCTTTCGACGAGCAGAAGAATAAATATTTATTCGGTGACATTTTTCACTTGTTTCGTTCTTTTTCTTATTCAATCATTATACTTCCCAGCAGCTATGTGGGGGAAAGAGTCCATGCACATAGGTCAAAGGATAAGTTGGAAAATGTTTGACGACGTTTGTTTTTTTTCTTTACTTTTCAAAACAATTCTATACAAATATGTAAACTATTAATGAACTTCATTTTGTCTTTGTTCCAAAAAAACAAAAAATAAACAATGCTTATATCACGCATCGTACATATTCAAATGAATAACAAAATTCCTACGACATTTCATCGATCAGTAGTAAAATTTCCTAGCATGAATGAAATGGTTTCTTATTATAGATTGTGTGAGGTTTAAGGTTTCTAATATTTACTCGAGTATCATACTGTGATTTTAGATAAAGCTTCTTTGGATATTTAGTATGAAATTAAAAGAATTTTTAATCACTAGTTTTTGAAATTATCTCAGTGAAAAGATGATTCGTCTTGTTTTGATTGGTTAGACATGTCAAGTAGCTGAATCAAAACAAAGCAATATATTCCAACATTTTCTTTACTCTGAAACACATATTTTTTTTCATAGAATGATATCATCTAAGATTAAATTAAAACTCAACACTTATTGCATGTATTTTTTTTAAATATCATGAACATTTACAGATAATGAAACATTATTTTTGATTGATAGGAAGAACTTTTTATTTGAACTTATATCTTTAATCATTTTTTATGACCTGTAATATCTCAAAAAAAAAAATTGTTAATCGAAACTATCCTGTTGCTAAAGCCACATATTAAATTAACTATTATGAAGTATTACAAAATAATTTGATAGATGTTGCAAATTTGTGTACCATGGAATGAAACCAAATAATAACTGATGCAACAAAAACTCATACATAAAAAAATCTCGTATTAGTTAAATAATACGATCAGTTAAAATTGAAAGTCTTATTATATCTGTAAAACGAAAGTTAGGTGTTTCTTCTAACATGATGCCGATACGTCTTCTTTGAGCCCCGTAACGGATCAGTTTTTTTTTCTCTGTTCTCGCGTTTTGGTTCTCTGTTATATTCATGAGTCATCATGTCAGACTTGTACAAGCATATATTTATCATGAAAACCAATAAAGGAACTGCTACCTATACCTCCCGCTAGGTTTTTGTTCTTTTAATAATTTTTGTATTGGGACTGATGGAAGAATATAAGAGCATGAAATCATTTCGTGGATATTTTTAGTATTAGTAAAAAACACAATATTTTAGGAAAAAGATTATTTTCAACAAATATCGATCCTACTATTATATCAATGTCTATATCTCATCTATGGTTGCATGAATAATTACAAGATTTTTGCTGTATATACAACTAAAGATTCTCCATAAAATAAAATAAAAATTATCTTATCCAATTATTTTATTAACGAATATTGACTGTCATAAAAAATTCTGTGCATCATAAAGGTTGCTTAACCTATAACTTTACAATGACTCAGAGTCAAAAAGTGAAATTTTTACCATCAATATACTTTCATACAGTCTATCAAGTAATAGAAAAAAAGTCGAAAAAAAATGATAGTCATTATTACTGGGATTCACACTTCTGAGTAGATTCAGTCCATAAGGCAAAAGATCTCAAAAAATGGTTAGTCTTTCAAGATTTTGATTGTCAAAAATTGGCTTTTATGAAAAATAAGTATCATATTCCGAATCAGCATGCACAAATACACCAAAAAGTGTATTTTTCATCGTGAAATATTTCCCATGAAAATTTTGTCCATAGGGGAATACAGACCAAAATTTAAGAAATCAAAAGCTGAGGAAAAGTAGAGAAAATTTTTAATGACAACATTTCACGATGAAAAATAAATTTTTTTTTATGTGTTTTTGCACGCTGATCTCGAATATCATGATTATTTTCTATAAAAATCTCGAAATATTAACCGGTTTTTTGCTAATGCTAAAAAATGTCCACGGAATGATTTCGGGATCTTGTATTTTCACATCAGTCCCAATAAAAAAATAACTGAAAGAAGAAAAGCCTAGCGAAGGGGTATAGCCCAATTGAAAAAACGTCACTTCCTTTACTTGCCTATACTATTGTTTGATTTCTTTGCGGAAGTGTATCATTTCGCAAATACGAATTTCTGAAAATTAATATCTTGGAAGGTTCCAAGTTTCATATCAATAATCGTCAGTTAATTACACTAATAATTATAGCATTTTTCGTTTTTTTTCTAATATGACAGTTCCCAATAGGTGCTGAATACGTATATAAATTAAGTGTAACTTTAACGAAACCATAATCACATATTATACGACGATTTCAATCGAATAAAGTAAGTTGTTATCTGATTGCATAACTAAATATTTCTTCCTATTGACTCGAACATAGAACTTGAACTTCTTGTATAAAACTATTGTCGATGATTATAAGTCGATTTTATATTTGAAGAGATATTCTTAAAAAATAATTTTTTTATTTTATTTTGAAAGATTTTCATATTATTCTTCATCTGAATTATCAGAAAATGAAGTCTATTTTAGAAAAAATTCTCTTATTTTTTACAGCTTCATTTCTTTTAATTCGTCAACAATGGCCAGTAACAGGATAAACATGCAAGAAATGGTGAATAACATGCTTACTGCTGCTGACAACGGTGATCGAAAAACAGCTCTTGGAGAAGTTAAAAGATCGCAACAAGAACTCGAAGGACTAGCTTTTACTGGACCAAAACCACAGCAAGCGACAAACAACAATAACCCGACACAATAACCTAGTGAAAATTAACTTTGATCAATCACATTGAAATATTTTTTTTTGTAAAAGCTCATTTATATCCTAGAATACAATCATCTACTTAAGGCATACCAAAAGTAGTGGCCACCGCAGCTTTATTTCGTATAGAGGGCTTAAGAAAAGTTTTCTTTTTTATGAATAGATAGAGCGTCTTTTGCTCTATTTTTCTATGCTATTTGATCCCTACTTAACTGATATCATAATCATAAAATTTTGATAAGAACTGTTTTTGTTGAAAACTACCTGGTACCATTTAGATCATAATGGATGTGGCACAAAAATTGGGAAACTTCTGCATTTCATTTTATCATCACTTAATACATTGTATTAAAAAAACAAAATATACCATAAGATACAGCGTGAAAAGCTCCACAATATATGAAGGACTGTTTATTTTCTAGTTTCACTTTTTGTCTTCAAAATGGACAAAATTCTGAGCGACCAAATTTCGATGTTGCGAAAACGAGATTGTTTTTTGATAAAAGACAAATTCGTTTTTTTCCAATATCACCTTTTTATAATTGTTCTTTGTAAATTGTGGAGCTTTTCAGGCTGCATCTTGCAGTATATTTTGTTTTTGAAATAAAACATATTAGGTAATAAAAAGATGAATTAAGAAAAACCGAATTAGTCTTTTACTAAAAAACAATCTTGTTTTCGCAACATCGAAATTTAGCCGCTCAGAATTTTATCCATTTTGAAGACAAAAAGTGAAACTAAAAAATAAACAGTCCTTCATATATTGTGGAGCTTTTCACGCTGTATCTTATGGTATATTTTGTTTTTGTGAAACACGATCTGAAAGGAGTGTTGAAGTGTATAGGGTAGAAATTTTGGACCCCCCC